TGCTGGGAGAACCATTACTGTCTTCATAGCTGTCAGACCGGGACATTTAAGTCTGCAGAAGTTTCTGCTGCCTTTTGTTCAGCAATGCCCTGCCCCCAGAGGTGGAGTCTACAGAGGCAGGCAGGTCTCTGTGAGCTGTGGTGGGCTCCACCCAGTTTGAGTTTCCTGGCTGCTTTGTTAACCTACTCAAGCCTCAGCAATGGTGGGCGCCCCTCCCCCAGCCTCACTGCTGCACTGCAGTTGGATCTCAGACTGCCGTGCTAGCAATGAGTGAGACTCCGTGGGTGTAGGACCCTCCAAGCCAGGTGCAGGATATAATCTCCTGGTGTGCCGTTTGCTAAGACTGTTGGAAAAGCGTAGTATTAGGGTGGGAGTGACCCGATTTTCCAGGTGCCGTCTGTCACGGCTTTCCTTGGCTAGGAAAGGGAATTCACTGACCCCTTGCGCTTCCTGGGTGAGGTGATCCCTCTCCCTGCTTTAGCTCACGCTCTGTGGGCTGCACCCACTGTCCTGCACCCACTGTCCGACAAGCCCCAGTGAGATGAACCTGGTACCTCAGTTGGAAATGCAGAAATCACCCATCTTCTGCGTTGCTCACGCTGAGAGCTGTAGACTGGAGCTGTTCCTATTCGGCCATCTTGGAACTGCACCTATTTGTCTTTTCTTCATGCTAGAAACATTTATTCTCTTCTATTTTTTTTTTTTTTTTTTTTTTTTGGAGACAGTCACTCAGGCTGGAGTGCAATGGCGTGATCTTGACTCACTGCGACCTCCGCCTCCTGGGTTCAAGTGATTCTCCTGCCTCAGCCTCCCGAGTAGCAGGGACTACAGGTGTGTGTCACCAGACCTGGCTAATTTTATATTTTTGGTAGAGATGGGGTTTCACTATGTTGGCCAGGCTGGTCTTGAACTCCTGATCTCAGGTGATCCCCTCACCTTGGGCTCCCAAAGTGCTGGGATTATAGGCATATGCCACCTCATCTGGCCTCTTCTAGCTATTTTGAAATGTTCAGTAGATTATTGTGAACTAGTCACCCTACTGATCCATTGAACATGAGGTCTTATTCCTTCTATCTAACTGTATATTTGTACCCATTAATCAATCTCTCTTCACCTCCCACCCCTTCCCGGCCTCTGGTAATTACCAATCTATTCTCTATTTTCATAACATCCACTGTTTTAGCTCCCACATATGGATGAGAACATGCAATATTTGTCTTTCTATGCTTGACTTATTTAACTTAACATAAGGACCTCCAGTTCCTCCATGTTGCTGCAAATGATAAGATTTCATTCTTTTTATATGGCTGAATAATATTCCATTGTGTATATATACCACATTTTCTTTATCCATTCATCCATCTGGAACAGGCAATGATGCCCACTTTTACCACTTTAATTTCACAAAATACCAGAAGTCCTGGCCAGAGAAATCAGGCAAGAGAAAGAAATAAAGGATAGCCAAGTTGGAAACAAAGAAGTCAAATTAGCCTTGTTCAAAGACAATTTTTTTTTTTTTTTGAGACAGGGTCTCACTCTGTCACCCAGGCTGCAGTGCAGTGGTGCAAAGGTGATCTTGGCTCACTGCAACCTCTGCATCCTGGGTTCAAGTGATTCTCCCACCTCAGCCTCCTGAGTAGCTGGGACTACAGGGATGCACCACCACTCTTGGCTAATTTTTTGTATTTTTAGTAGAGATAGGGTTTCGCCATGTTGACCAGGCTGGTCTCGAACTCCTGGCCTCAAGTGATCTGCCCACCCTGGCCCCCCAAAGTTCTGGGATTACAGGCGTGAGCCACTGTGCCCAGCCAACAATATGATCTTATACTTAGAAAAACCCAAAGACTACCAAAACACTGTTAGAACTGATACATTTAGTAAAATTGCAGGATACAAAATAAACACACAAAAATCAGTAGCACTTAAATATGCCAACAGTGAACAATCTGAAAAAGAAATCAAGAAAGTAATCCCATTTCCAATAGCTACAAAGAATATAAGATACCTAGAAAACAATTTAATCAGAGACGTGAAAGATCTATACAAGGAAAACTGTAAAACATTCATAAAAGAAATTAAAGAGGATATTAAAAATGGGAAAATATTCCATGCCGATGGGTCCAAATAATTAATATTGTTAAAATGACAACTCTACCCAAAGCAATTTATAGATTCAATGGAATCCCAATCAAAACACCTATGACATTCTTCACAGAAATAGAAAACAAAATAACAAAATCCTGAAATTTTTTTCTTTTCCTTTTTTTTTTTTTTGAGACAGGTTCTCACTCTGTCACCCAGTCTGGAGTACAGTGGCACAACGACAGCTTACTGCAGCCTCAAACTCCTGGGTTCAAATGATCCTCCAGCTGCAGCCCCATGAGTAGCTGGGACTACAGGCGCATGACCACAACACTTGTTTTCTGTAGAGACAGGTTTTTGCCATATTGCCCAAGCTGGTTTTGAACTCCTGGGCTCAAGCAATCCTTCAGTCTAGGTTTCCCAAAATGCTGGGATTACAAGTGTGAGCCACTTGTGCCTGGCCCCTACAATTTTTATAGAACCACAAAAGATCCAGAATAGCCAAAGCAATCCTGAGCAAAATGGACAAAGCTGAGGCCAGGTGTGGTGGCTTACACCTGTAATCCCAGCACTTTGGGAGGCAGAGGTGGGCAGATCACCTGAAGTCAGGAGTTCAAGACCAGCTTGGCCAACATGGCAAAACCCTATCTCTACTAAAAATACAAAAATTAGCTGGGTGTGGTGGTGGGCACCTGTAATCCCAGCTACTTGGGAGGCCGAGACAGGAAAATTGCTTGAGCCTGGGAGGCAGAGGTTGCAGTGAGCTGAGAGTCGTGCCATTGCACTCTAGCCTGAGCAACAGAGAAAAACTCCGTCTCCAAAAAAAAAAAAAAAAAAGCTGGAGTCATCTGACTTAAAAACATATTACAAAGCTACAGTAACCAAATTGGCATGGTACTGGCATAAAAACAGACACATTGACTGATAGAAGAGAATAGAGAACCCAAATATAATTCCATGCATTTACAACCAACTCATTTTTGACAAAAGTATCAAGTACACACAATGGGGAAAGGACAGTCTCTTCAATAAATGGTGCTGGGAAAACTGGAAAACTATAAGCAGAAGAATGAAACTAGACTCTCATTTACTATATACAAAAATCAAATCAAAATGGACTAAAGACTTAAATCTATGACCTGAAACTATGAAACTACTAGAAGAAAACATCGGAGGAAATGCTCCAGGACATTGGAGCATTTTTATTTGTTTATTTTGTCATTTGTCAAAAGATTTCAAAAGCAAAAGCAAGCAAAGCAAAAATAGAAAATGGGATTATGTCACACTAACAAGTGCCTGTACAGCAAAGAAACAATGAACAAAGTGAAGAGACAACCCACAGAATGGAAGAAAATATTTGCAAACTACCCATTTGACAAGGGATTAATGACTGGAGTATATTAAGAAGCTCAAACAACTCAACAGCCAAAAAAAAAAAAAAAAAATCCGATTTAAAAATGTGCAAGGTTGGGGCAGTGGTTCATTCCTGTAATACCAGCACTTTGGGAGGATGAGGAGTTTAAGACCAACCTGGGCTGAGGTGGGAGGATCACCTGATCCCGGGCAAATTAAAGCTGCAGTGAGCCATGACCTCATCACTGTACTCCAGACTGGGCAACAAGACCCTGTCTCAAAAAAAAAAAAAAAAAAAAAAGGCAAAAGATCTGAATAGATATTTCTCAAAAGAAGACGTACATATGGCCAACAGCTATATGAAAAAATGCTCAATATCACTAATCATCAGAGAAATGCAAATGAAAACCACAATGAGATATCATCTCACCTCAGCGAAAATGGCATATATCAAAAAGACAGGGAATAATGAATGGATGCTGGTGAGGATGTGGAAAAAGGAGAACCTTCATATACTATTGGTGGGAATGTAAATTAGTATGACCGCTATGGAAAATAGTGTGGAGTTTCCTCAAAAAACTAAAAATACAACTACCATATCATCTAGCAATGCCACTACTGGGTATTTATCCAAAAGAAAGGACATCAATATATCAAAGAGATAACTGCACTCCCATGTCTACTGCAGCTCTATTCATAGCAGCCATAACATGGAATGAACATTTCCTGGTTTTTTTCTTTTTTTTTGAGATGGAGTCTCGCTCTGTCGCCAGGCTGGAGTACAGTGGCACAATCTTGGCTCCTGAAACCTCTGCCTCCCGAGTTCAAGCGATTCCCTTGCCTCAGCCTCCTGAGTAGCTGGGACTACAGGCATGCACCACCACGCCCAGCTAATCTTTGTTATTTTTAGTAGAGACACGGTTTCACCATGTTGGCCAGGATGGTCTCAATCTCTTGACCTCGTGATCTGCCCACCTCGGTCACCCAAAGTGCTGGGATTACAGGTGTGAGCTACAGCGCCCGGCTCTTGAGTTTTTTTCATGGTAGCATAGGCCAAGTTTTAAAAAGCCATTTATGAAGGTTGGCGAGGCTTTACCTAAATTAAACTCAAATATAAAGGCCTTCAAGAAAACTGCCTTCAATCCTTACTGAAACTTTATATTTATCCTAAAACTTCAGCACCATTTTGATGTGACTTTATCTTCTTTGCTCAAAGTTTATAAATTTGTTCAAAGTTCCTAGGAAGTGAAATGCATAATAGCATAGTAATAGCAGCATAGCAAGTGGAAAAGTTTAAAATTATGTTTTCATATTTTGTTTGAAATGCCACCCATGTGTATATCTCCCAGAAAAAGCAATAATATGACTACTCAAAGACCCAATTATAGGGTGAATACAAATTTAATTAACTTTGGTCCCACTACACTGGAAGAACTGGGAATTTTACCAAATAGAACAAGAGGAGGAAATCAGGAGAGGCTAAGAACTCTCAGAAGTAATGACATGAGGAGGAGGAGAAGTGACTAAAGCTCTGGCTCTAGGAGCTACAGCATACAGTTGGCTACCTTGCTCTTCGAGAGGGACTTGCACAGCTGAGTTTTCCTTTACTTTTTTTCTGGCTGCTCCTTCTTCTTCCTTAGACCACTGCATGTGATCCCTATTAAACAAATAAAAATAAAAAGATTGTAAAATATGCTTTATCATTGAAGAAGACAGAAAAAAGGTGACAGGGAACCACATCTTTCATTCTAGATTAGCTGAAGACAAATGATACAGACTAATTCCACATGGAATGAATACATTTTGTGTCAGATGTTCCTACTGATAGCGCTGGTACAACCCTGGAACTCCTACGATTCTTCTGTTTAAATCTGGTTGTGCTGCAAGCCCCAACTACCTCTCGGAAATGGCTGCTAAAGTAATGTCCTCAGAACACCCTGGTGTATGACTATTTGGGTGCTGGTATGGTTTGCTGGTTTTTACTCTAAGGCTAAATTTATTTGCCTTTTTGTTAATTTATGAACAGAACATTCTTCAGTAGTTTTTAAATGCTCCTCTTATAACACTTGTATTCTAACACTTTGCTGTCAAAGAGATGAAAGTTTAAAAATGTTTTGTACCTAGCCTGCAATTTTTAAAGTAACTTTAGATTTATTTTTCTTATTAGCTACTTTAAATTCTGTAAAAGGATTCATTTGCATTTAAGTGATAGAGTACTTGATATAGCACGTGAAAAGGTCACCTTTCTAAGTTCTGGCACTTTCTATAAGTATTTTTAGTTTCAGAATCTACTCTCCCTATGTGAGAAGATATTTTCTGCTGCAAAAAAAATGTCTTTCTTGGAATAGAAGCAACAACTGTATGCAAGAAAGGTAATTTTTTTTAAGTTTTGTTTTCACAAAGTTTGCATTTTTTTTGCAATAGGTTAGACTCTAAGTAAAGCAATTTCCTGGAATAAACCAGGAATATTTTTTTATCACTAAACAATAAAAAAATTACATACCCCATATTCAAGTTGCATGTAGCCTAAAAGAAAAACCTCTAACACTATTATCATATATGTAGTCACTTGACTGATGACAAGGGATAAATTATACAGTTCTTGAAAGTGCATCATGCTATGACCGACAAACATTGAGCAGTTAGCATGATCATCATCATAATAATAATAATTGCCATCATTTATTTATTACATATCAGGTATTGTAATAAGCACATTGCATACATATGTCTTATTTAATCCTTTCAAAAACCCTTTGGTAGGGTTATAATCATGCCCACTTTGCATAGTGGCTAACAGAAATGTAATAACTTATTCAAGGTCATAGCCAGGAAGTGGCAGAAACAGAATTCACCTAGGTTTGTGTCACTTAAAAGTCCACCTTCTCAACTATTAGTCTATTATTTTCTACCATGGCAGTGGGGGACACAGAGAGACTTAAGATGTAATGTTTGCCCATCTTGGGTTTATATTCTGCTAGTGCAGGCAGGTAAACAATAAGTAAATGATAATACAGTGAAGCATGCATGGCTAGCACCTGATGAAGGGGAGTGCAGCCAATTAATGCAGCTGGGGCAAATAGGAAGACTTGAGAGAAGGTAGGTTTGGGCTCAGGTTAGGAGGAAAAGTGGTGGAGCAAATTCATGTCACTCAGAAGCTGACAATACAGACAGTGCATACAGGGAACAATTAAAAGAAACTCCATTTTGACTGGTTCTCTTGGACTACTGCAGATGAAGTTGGGAGCTGGATAATGGTCAGATTTCAGAGGATCTTAAATGTGGGGCTGAAGAGTTAAGTAGTGTGCGAGACACAATGAAGTGGGGATGGACTGGAGGAAAAGCGACAATTAGACTGTTGGAATGGTCTAGGAGTAATGAGTCCCAGGACTAAAGTGGTAGCAATGGAGAACAGGAAGGAAAGGGGGAGAGGGAGACACTGAAAACACTGAAATTACGACCTAGAGATTAACTAGATATTGGAGAGAAGTGTAAGAGTCATGAATGATTCCAAGGTCTTAAAACTGAGTATCTAGGAAAGTGGGGGTAACAATGACAGAATGTGGAGGTGCATTGGGTGGAATGATGATAAGCATGGTACTATTTTAAGTAATGCTTATACAATCAGATATGAGAGGGTATATTCCAGTGACCTGGCTATAAATACTGACGGTGGGATACAGTTTTCCTTAACTAACTAACTAACTAAATCAATCAATCAATCAATCAAAACTGGTATGCTGCAGTCTCCAGGAAATGTGAATGAGAATGTTTTCAGAGTTTCATAGATAAAAGTTTAACCGCCAGTAGTTAAATAAAACTCAATCATGTACAAGCCAAATAATCATAAACAGCTTTGTCTCTTGCTTTAACAAATGAGATTAGAATAGGTTTTAGTTTTTTTTTGTTTTTTTTTTTTTTGACTTATTTTGACTTACTTTAACATATGCGAGCAATCACATACAAATTGGGGCGGGCAACTATACTTTAAATTCTGTATATATTAAATACACTATGTTGAATACAATTACATGACAGTTGTGAAATTAAAGGCAACAAGTTATTTATTGAAAAAATAGTATTTCTAAGGTTAGGGATGAGTTTTTCATCTACAAATTTCTACCACATATAGGAAAGAAAATAGAATAATCTATTTCCCTGGGAAGAATCAAGCTGTAAGACAGTAAGAGTATATGTGGTCTTCCACTTTAAGCATTTAAGCTTTTAGTTTAACTTGCTATTTCTTAAGTATTTAATAGATACAGTTATTTTTTAACTGTACCTTCCTTACCCTGTTCTTTATGTTACTTCATTTTCTTAACTGCTAAGTGAGGGGAATATTAAATCCTAAGTTCCTGCAGAACAGATTTTTTTTTTACACTACAGTTACAGAATCCCCACAGAAACCTATAAAATGTTCCTACTGTATTTATGGGGACTTCCTCCAGCCCTGCTGCTTTATGGCAGTTCTTTATTTTGGAGGAACTGGATTCATGTATCCCAAAACCCAACAGCTGGCAATAAGAATCATACAGCTTTTTATTAGTAATAATACAACTACAATAGAATTTAAGCATAGAAACAAATAATAAACAAACTGAAAATAATCAAGTATTTAACAGCAACAAAAACCAAAGGAAAAAAGTGGTTTATAGAGTTTGGCCAATAAATTGTACTACTGGGAACTTACTGAAATGAAGTAACTCAAAAGAACTAAGAAATTCTGTACAGGGAAATATTTGTATGAAGATATTCACTGGAACACTAAATATAATATTAGTAGCAAAAAATGAGAAACAACTTCAGTGATAGGGAAATGAAAAAATTATAGTAAATCAAAGGAATATTATGCAGACATTAAGATAATAAATATGACTATTACATGACAATATGGAAAAGTATTTATAAAATAACATGAGGTTAAAAAAGTAGATCCCCACATTTTATGTATATATATCTTTTTTTTTTTTTTAGATGGAGTTGCTCTGTTGCCCAGGCTGGAGTGCAATTGCACAATCTTGGCTCACTGCAACCTCTGCCTCCTGTGTTCAAGCGATTCTCCTGCCTCAGCCTCCCGAGTAGCTGGGATTACAGGCATGTGCCACCACGCCCAGCTAATTTTTGTATTTTTAGTAGAGATTTATCTACTAAAATACCATATCTCATCATCATCAGGTGATCCACCTGCCTTGGCCTCCTAAAGTGCTAGGATTACAGACGTGAGCCACCGTGCCTAGCCTATAACAAGTTTTAAAAAAACCTTTTTAGCCTTTGGAAAAACCTTTGACAGCCTCAAACTCCTGAGTTCAACCAATCCTTCAGCCTCAGCCTCCTGAGTAGCTGGGACTATAAGTGTATACCACTGTGCCCAGCTAATTTTAAAAATTTTTCAATTAATTTTTTTTTTTTTTTGTAGAGACGGGTCTTGCTTTGTTGCCCAGGCTGGTCTCCAACTCCCTCATCAAGCGATCCTCCTGCCTTGGCCTCCCATACTGCTGGGATTACAGGCATGAGTGAGCCACCACACCTGCCTGAGTTCCTTAATTGTGTGACTAACAAAAAATACAAACATAGAGCCAATGCCTTCCTACTTTGCACACAATGGGATGGAGGTCACAGCTGCTGAAGAAACCAATACCCACCTCCCTCATTAAGTATTCAGTGGGAACCTATATCTATCAGGCACTGGGCCTGTGAACTGGGGACACAAAGATGAGAAGATTTGGTAGAACTCAAAATTTTGAGTGATTCTCCTACCTCAGCCTCCTAAGTAGCTGGAATTATAGGCCGAGGCAGGCAGATCACAAGGTCAGGAGATCGAGACCATCCTGGCTAACATGGTGAAACCCCGTCTCTACTAAAAATACAAAAAATTAGCCGGGCATGGTGATGAACGCTTGTAGTCCCAGCTACATGGGAGGCTGAGGCAGGAGAATGGCATGAACCCGGAAGGCAGAGCTTGCAGTGAGCCGAGATTGCGCCACTGCACTCCAACCTGGGCGACAGAGTGAGACTCCGTCTCAAAAAAAAAAAAATATATATATATATATACACACATATATATACATATATATATACATATATACACACACACACACACACACATATATATATACACACACACATATATATATATATATATATATATATATATATATATAAACCCAATACGGGAGGACCCAGATTCATAAAACAAGTTCTTAGAGACCTACAAGGAGACTTAAACTGCCACACGATAGTGGTGGCAGTTTTAACACCCCAGTGTCAATACTGGACAGATCAACAAGACAGAAAATGAACAAGGATATTCAAGACTTGAACTCAGCTCTGGATCAAGTGGACCTGATGGATATCTACAGAACTCTCCACCCCAAGACAACAGAATATATATTCCTCTAAAATAGACCACATAATTAGAAATACGACATTCCTCAGCAAATGCAAAAGAATTGAAATCATAACGAATAGTCTCTCAGACCGCAGTACAATCAAATTAGAACTCGAGATTTAAAAACTCTCTCAAAACCATACAACTACATGGAAATTGAACAACCTGCTCCTGAATGACTCCTGGGTAAATAATGAAATTAAGACAGAAATCAAAAAGTTCTTTAAAACAATAAGAACAAAGTGACAATGTACCAGAATTTCTGGGAT